ATTATTAAAATAATGGTTCACATGGGACCCATTATGTGTTGACCATTAAAAAAATAATATTCCATGAAACTTGTCACCTCGAGATGACGAGTTCTTTTTGGACTATATCAAATTCCGTATTTTGCTAAATAAAGTTAGGGTAGACCCAATACTCTAAATATTCTACCCACCTGGGGTATTGGGCAAAAAAACCCCAAGAATCTCTATTCTAGAATGAATAAATTTATATTTGTGCTTGTTTATTTATTTTTGAAAATATTTATATTTAATTTATATTCATTTAAATTTTTAATATCATGTTCATGTTCTTTTGTTTTATTTTTAAGTTGTTCGCATTCAATTCATTTAGCATTTGCGAATAAATTCATTTATATGTATAGATAAATGATGAAATTATGTCATTAGTCTTAAGCTTCTAGACTTTACAATTTAGACTATAAAGTTTAATGTCTCATTTAGTCTTTATCTTCATCAATATAAATAAAAGAAAAAGAGAATTGAATAAAGGGGTCGATAAACAAGTTTGTTCGTGAACATAACTAAACAAAACACACCACTATTTATGTTCGTTCATTTATTAAGAAATATTAAATTTTTATTTAGATTAATAAATGAACTTGTATAAATGTTCATGAATAGTTTATTAAACGCTTTATTCATTTATATTCATTCTTATTAATAAGGATAAAATAAATCACTTAATTATAATTTTGATAATAATTAAATTATTTAAAAATTTATAATATCATCACTAATTAAAATATTATTATAATATATTTTTTCTAACGATTTAAAGTGATAATATTTATTCATAATTTTATTTAGTAAAATGGTTTCAATCCTTGATTTTATTATTAAACTTAAAATGGTTTTCGATAACAATAACAATGATCATGCGAGTGCAGTCTTATCCCACGCTGGGTGTTGTCTTCTCATGCACTTCATCTCTAATGCCAACTCCTTTAGCTTATTTCCACACTTACAATTGCTCTTCAATTTCGGCCCATCCCCATATGTTAATCCAAACACAAATGAACCATCCTCTCAATATTCCAACTTTTCCTCGTAATTCCATCCAAACCAATACCTTGAAGGATATTTGTCTTCGAGGAAACCTCAAGGAAGCATTTCAGTCACTCACAGTCTCATTCAATGATCACCCAGACGAGACTTATGGAGCAGTTCTTGATCTTTGTGCTCACAGGAAAGCTCTTCCTCAAGGGCTACAGATTCACGCCCACATGATAAAGTCTTGCTCCGTGCCCGAATCCGTGTTTTTAGGGACTAAGCTCGTGCTTATGTATGGGAAATGCGGGTCAGTTGAGAATGCTGAGAAAGTGTTTGATAAAATGGGTCAACGAAGTTCTTTTACTTGGAATGCTATGATTGGGGCTTATGTTTCAAATGGGAAGCCTTTTGAAGTTCTTGAAACATATAAAGAGATGCGGGTTTTGGGTGTTTCTTTTGATGCATATAGCTTTCCTTTTCTACTTAAAGCTAGTGGTTGGCTTAAAAATCTCTATTTAGGAGCTGAAATTCATGGCCTGGCTGTCAAGTTTGGGTATGAATCTGTTGTTTGTGTTGTCAATTCTTTATTTGCTATGTATTCGAAATGTAACGATATTTGTGGAGCAAGGAGATTATTCGGGAGAATGGTTCAAAAAGATGATGTAGTAGTTTCATGGAATTCTATAATTTCAGCATACTCTTCAAGTGGAAAATCTAGGGAAGCATTGGAACTTTTCAGGGAAATGCAAAAGGCTGGTCTTGACTCAAATACTTATACCGTCGTTGCTTCTCTTCAAGCTTGTGAGGATTATTCCTTTAGGAAATTAGGTAAGGAGATACATGCTGCTGTGTTGAAATCATCTCAGCTTCTCGATGTTCATGTTGCTGGTGCTTTGATTGCCATGTACGTCAGGTGTTGTAATATGAGTGAAGCTGTAAGAACTTTTAACGAATTGGTCGAAAAAGATAAAGTAGCCTGGAATTCTCTGCTTACAGGGTTTATCCATAATGGCATGTACAGTGAAGCTTTGCATTTCTTCCATGATTTTCGGAATGCTGTTGAAAAACCTGACCAGGTTACAGTGATAAGCATCCTACTAGCTTGTGGGCGATTGAGATTCTTATTGAATGGTATGGAATTGCATGCTTATGCAATGAAAAAGGGGTTTGATTTAGATTTGCAGGTTGGAAATACACTTATAGATATGTATGCAAAGTGTAGTTGTGTGAACTACATGGGCTATGCTTTTAATAGGATTCCCGACAAAGATTTAATTTCTTGGACTACCGTTATTGCTGGCTATGCTCAAAACAATTATGCTTTATAGGCTTTCGAATTGTTTCAAGAAGTGCAATTAGTTGGTATTGATGTTGATCCCATGATGATAGGTAGTGCATTGCTGGCTTGTAGTGAACTGGCATGTGTGTCCCAAGTGAAAGAAATTCATGGTTGCATGATAAGAAGAGGTTTGTCTGATATTGTGCTACAAAACATGATCATTGATGTATATGGAAAATGTGGAAACATAGATTGTGCTGGGCGAACATTTGAGTTGGTCAAGTTTAAGGATGTTGTGTCTTGGACAAGCATGATTCTTATGTCCACAATGGGCTTGCTAATGAAGCTCTTGAAGTGTTCCTGATTCTATAGCATTCAAGAGCGCACTCTCTGCTGTTTCCAGTTTGTCTGCCTTGAAGTATGGGAAAGAAATCCACGGCTTTATTATCAGGCAATACGTCATTCTCGAAGGATCCATTGCCAGCTCTCTTGTGGATATGTATTCTCGTTGCGGAATGGTAGAGAGTGCATACAAGATATTTAAATCTCTCCAAAGCAAAGATTTAGTCCTGTGGACAAGTATGATAAACGCATATGGAACGCATGGCTATGGAAAAGTAGCCATTAATTTATTCAATAAAATGAAGGAAAACCTCACTCCAGATCATATAGCTTTTTTATCAGTTCTATATGCTTGCAGTCATTCAGGACTGATTGACGAAGGTAGACAATTTTTCCAGATCATGAAATATGAATATCAATTGGAACCACGGCCAGAGCACTATGCTTGTTTGGTTGATCTCCTTGGTCGGGCTAATTGCTTAGAAGAGGCATATGAATTTGTGAAAAGAATGCAGATGGCACCTACTGCTGAAATTTGGTGTGCACTCCTTCGGGCTTGTCAAGTACACTCAAATCAAGAACTAAGAGAAATTGCATCCCGGAAACTTTTGGCGTTAAATCCTGAGAATCCCGGACATTATGTGCTCATTTATAATGTCTTTGCGGAAGAAGGAAGATGTAAAGATGCTGAAAAAATTAGAACTAGAATGAAGGAGAGAGGCCTGAAGAAAAGTCCTGGATGTAGTTGGATTGAGGTAGAGAACCGGATTCATACTTTCTTGGCAAGGGACAAGGCTCATCCTGAGAGTCAACAGATAACCAAAAAATTGGATCAAATCAAGCAAAAATTAGAGAAGGAAGGAGGTTATGTGCCTCAAACAAAGTTTGTTTTGCACAATGTGGAAGAAAAGGAGAGTTGAGATGCTGTATGAGCACAGTGAGCGATTGGCCATTGCATATGGTTTGCTCAAGAGTGCTGAGGGAACCCCCATCCGGATTACAAAGAATCTTCGCGTCTGTGGTGATTGCCATACTTTCTGTAAGCTAGTTTCAAAATTCTTCAGTCGTGAACTTGTTGTGAGGGATGCAAATAGATTTCACCATTTTGAGGATGGGATTTTTTCCTGTGGGGATTTTTGGTGAATGTTACATCCAATTCTTTGTATCAGATCCAATTCTTTGAATCAGACTTTTCATCGTCCTACCTGCTGCAGGTATTGGAAGCCACCCGCAGTTGATCAAGAAATGTTCCTTTATGTTATCCCTTCTGGTTCAATTCTGCTAAGAGTGAATAAAATATCATCATTCCCCAGTGGCAGTGACCAAACTGGAAGCTTGAGGTGCCAAGCTGCTATTAAGATTGCCAATCAATGATTCAATTGTGAAAAAAAAACTAAAGCAGGGGTTGAATCTGTAACCATATCGATTCCAGTTTTTGTTCATGCATTGGCTGATTCATTATTGTTTTTATGATTTTAATGACTGGAAAATGAACTAATATTGGTAGTAAATATCCTGTCCTGTTTGCTACTTGTTTTCAAAAAGAATCGCCATGGCAGAGGTGGTCTTAGAAGTTATGAATCTCATAATATTTGATTTTCGAGATCATTTTGAAAATAAAATCGTAAAGTCTAATGAGTTTAGGAGATGATAAATGTAGGTTACTGTGGACCATGATTTGAATCGAAATTCGAGAAGTTGAGAATCTTTGACAAAATGAGCTACCTATTATAATTTATAGCAGGTTCCCAGTTTCATGTCTTGAAGTGGGAAGATCACACCTCTAGAACAAGTGTGGAGAAGAAGGTGTCCAGCTGAGGAAGCTTCGCCAGCAGCCACTTCAACATTATGCCAAATATATTAATGTATATAACTATATATATGTATGTATCAGTTTTACTTATCTCTAGCGAGTCTAGTCGGCTGAAAGAATACTTTGTGCTCTTGGGTCTCGGTTCTTACACCTTTCCTTTCTGTTTTGTCTCCGTTTAGATACCAATGACAAAGGGGGTGCTCAAGCTAATGCTCTCAATACATCTTCATTTAACAAATGGTTACTACTACAGGTAATTTCTCTCTCAACCCTACATTTTTTTCTCAAATATATTTTTTTTATAAGAGTTTTCTCAAATATTTTGAAGTACAAGCAGAGAAACATCTGTTGGAACAGAGTTCTCGGTTATGTCTGTTAAAGCAACAAAAGCTATGTTAATTAGAGGATCATTTTAGGTAATTTGTCGGTAGAGGATTGCGGTTTTGGCCAGGGAACTTCATTACCAGATTTCAAATGCGTGATGGTTGAATAATAAAAGACATTCTAGGTAGATACATGAAAGGGTAGTTTATTTTTATGAGAATTAAGTACAAATAGTAGCACAAATGATACTGTTTCAAAACTTCTATGAAGGAATAAGCCATACCAAATCCTTACAAAAGAATAAGCTAACAACCGGCATGTAGCTAGAAAAATCCTGGGTGAAGTTAGAGCAAACCCCAAAAAGTTAGATCGAATATATATATATGTATGTAAATAAGGAGTTAGTGGCTCTCAAAACATAAGAAATCTAGAATCATGATCTCATTACGTTGTTTGTCATCTGTTCGGCATGTCAGTGGAGTGATTACGAACTTCGATCTTTATTCTTTCGGAACCTTACCTTATTGCACTTGCAGTTCCATGCCTGTAGGATGAATGTTTCTTGCGGCAGATGGCTTGCTTAACATTTGTGAGATAACTGAAGAAGGGTTTGTCTGAAACGGGTATGAGCTTCACAAACCATGCAATTGGCCATGAGAAAGCTGCAAGTAGGACACAAACTCCCCACTGCCATAGTTCCAATCTCTCTGTATCAGCGAATTTCTTTAAAAATTCCACCATAACCACCTGAAGAATTATGGTTATCCCCACAATTCCCATGAACAACTTGTTCTGAAGAATGCCTTGGAAAACGTTTTGCTTCTCCATTTTCCTTGCGTTGAACTCATTGAAAACTTGACAGAGAACGAAAGTGTTGAAAATCAGTGTGTCATTTACCCTCGCATGCACGTTGAATATAGACTCACCTCTAAATTGTAAGATCAATAGAATAACTATCTGGTACAGTGCTTGGGCTAAAAGATTCCTCCACATAATATTGGTAATGAGAGGCTCAGTTCGACCGACAGGTGGCTTCGTCATTAGCTCCTTTGTTGGCCTATCTGTTGCAAGGGCTAGAGCACCAAGTGTGTCCATGATGAGGTTTACCCACAGCAATTGAACTGCTGTCAGGGGAACCTCCCCGGCAGAAACTGCTGCAATGAAGTTAATTACAAGAGCTGCAACATTTACTGTAAGTTGGAATTGAATAAACTTCTGTATGTTGTTATAAACGCATCTTCCCCATCTTAGAACCGTGGCAACTGAGCTAAAATTATCATCCAATATGACAATGTCCGAGCTCTCCTTGGCTACCTCAGTGCCTTGAATGCCCATCGAAAGTCCAATGTCGGCTTCTTTTAGCGCGAGAGCATCATTAGTACCATCCCCTGTGACTGCAACCACTTCACCTTTCTGTTTCAAGCACTGTACCATCAGAAGCTTGTCAAATGGAGAAGACCTTGCCATCACCTTGATCTTATCTAGCTTCTCCATTCTCTCTTCAGGTGTATAGTTTCTGAATTGAATACCTTCTATGGCTTCTCCACTTTCTTCATTGTAATCTGGTCCTAGGATTCCACATTCTGTAGCTATAGCTTTTGCTGTGAAAATATTGTCTCCGGTAATCATTTTGATGTCCACCCCTGCAGATTGGCAAGCTTCCACGGCTTTCTTCACCCCTGGGCGACATGGATCCTTCAAACCAACTATCCCCAGCAAGGTTAAACCATCTTCTGTGATTCTTTGATGTGTCTTTCCGCTATCATCATCATCATGTTCCATCTCTTCTCGTGAGACTTGCTTGTGGGCAAAAGCAATGCATCGTAGGCTACTGGCTGCCATGCCTTGGATTATTGTTTCAATTCTGCTTCTTTGGTATTCGTCCATGGACCTTATGACCCCATTGGTCTCATAATATTGTGAGCACATGGACACAATAATCTCTGCAGCTCCTTTCCAGTGTACATTAGTAGTTTCGTCAGCTTTTCTCCTTATTGAAACCCCGCTTCGCTTTTTCTCTGAGTTGAAGGTTTCGACATGAAGAATGCTGTATTTTTGCTTCAATTTTTCCATATCCAGCCCCAAACCTAAGACAGCCCAAGAGAGAATTGCCTTCTCTGTTGGACTGCCAGAAAACTCTGGTATGGAGCCGGGGATGGGTTTGCAGACACTACCAGTAGTGTTCAAACCGACACCTTGGTATAATAATTCAAGAACAGTCGGGTCAATGATGTTGGAACGATCTTCCTCGATGGACTCTTGGCCGAGCCAAAACTGGGTTACTTTCATCTGATTTAGTGTCAAGGTTCCCGTTTTGTCCGTACAAATAACTGTAGCTGAGCCCATCGTTTCGCAAGCTGAAAGTTTCCTAACCATTGCCTGATCAGCCATCATTCTTTTCATGGAGTAAGCAAGTGTAAGAGTGACAGCCAATGGTAAACCTTCCGGGATTGCAACGACCACAATAGTTACGGCAGCCGAAACTATACGAACAACACCGTTCAAGATATCGTCTACTTTGGTCTTTCTACCAATGTATTCCGTTCTCCCTTCGTCATCTTTCGTATTCCCGGTGAAATAACGGATTAATAGGACTACAAGGACTAGAAAGGCAACCGCAAGACCTACCTTTCCGATAGAAGAGGTTAGTTTGTCGAGTCGTTCTTGTAGCGGTGTTCTTTCGTTTTATCACTGGTAATCGAGCTCATCATTTCACCCCATGTTGTTTCCATTCCCACGGATGCTACAAGCATCTGACCATATCCATCTGCCACTTTTGAGCCAGAGAAAAGGAAAGGGTTCCTGGTGGCATCTACTTCCACATGGTCACTCTCTCCTGTCATGCTCGATTCATCCACTTGCAGCGAATATCCGTCCAAGAACATCCCATCTGCTGGAATTTGATCTCCGATTTTCAGGAAGACAACATCTCCGACAACGAGATCGAATATCGATATTTGTTGACGGCGGCCACCTCTGACAACTTCAACTTTGATGTTGTTACTTATTTTCGATAGTTTGTCGAATTGAGTCTCCTGTCTGAAGTTACTCAGTGCAGAGACAACGATCACAAGAAAGACGGCAACGAAAATGCTTCCGCCTTCGTACCAACCCTCTGTCGCGCCATGCTCTTTGATACCAAACCCAAGAGAAAGAGCAGCACATACCAGAAGGATAAGGATTGTGGTGTCCTTAAAAGCATCCACGACGAAGTACCATAACCCCTTCGGAGGCGGCTTGTGGTAAGTATTGGCACCGAACGTCTCCTGTCTTTTTTAACCTCTCGGTCGTCATCTTGGATTCCCTTTTCAGGATTCGTGCCAAGAGCAGCAGCCACACCCTCGACTCCTCCAAGCTGGCGAAGAGAACCCAAGTCTTTTTCTTTCACGGTCTCCACGAGTCTCTTCCGATCAATTTTCGGAGCAAAGGAAGAAGACGAATATTTTTCACCCCAATGCTGAGAGCTCGATGGTTCAATATCAAGCGCGACGTACGGATGCAGATCGGATAGGATCGAGGGTTGTTGGCCGCCTCTTTTCGATATGATCTCCTTGGCAAGAGAAAGCATCACCCGTACCGAATATATCGATGCATAGGCAATGCGCCAACGCTTCTGAGCTGTGGTGAAGCTGGAGGCTGTGACCGAGAGAAGTAACGTCCCGCAATCATACAGTTTGTTATCGTCACCACTGGACATGGTCGATCGTTGCAGGGTTTTCTCACCAGCTAGGAAAATGTTTGGAGTTGTGTTTGAAAAGAGAGAATGAAACTTCTTTTCAACTACAAACGGGCGACGCCTTATTTATAATTGGCATCGGAAGGTTTTGGTCAACAAACCGCCTCTGCACTTGCAGCATGTTACTGACCAGGTTCGGCCATAAAAGTCATTCTACAACCATAATGCTTAGAAGTACCGTATAGATCCTTGTACCATAGTGTGGAATGCACTCTAGTCCCTGTATTTTTGTTGTAGTTAAAAGGTATTAATTTTATGCAATAGACTCGATTAAATGATGTGTATTAGTTCAGAAAATGTTGTGATGTTTTTAAGTAGAGAAAATAACCTCAGTGACTGAAAATTCTTTATAATATACGATTTTGATCAACTTTTTTTTTGATTTGCCAAAATGACCAACAAAATCGCAATGCGATCTCTAAATCGCAACGCGATCTCCAGTATCGCAAATCAGTTTTCAGATTCGCAACGTGATTTTGACTATCGCAATGCGAATATGTAAATCGCAACGCGATTCTGACTATCGCAAAGCGATAATACAAAATCGCAATGCGATTTTCAAAGCGCGCGTATTTTATTTTCAAATTCCAAACACGAATATTAATATATCCCGTAATCGTAACTCTTAACTTAAAACCCTAAATTACGATTCAGTCTCATCTCTATCTCTCTCTACGGCGACATCCGTCCCTATCTCCGACGAAACCCGTCCCTATCTCCGGCGAAATCTGTCCATCTCCATCTGTCAGAGCCACCCTCACAATCATTAAAAATCAGAAATGGAAAATCAACCAAATCAACCACCGAGTGTTAGTTTTTTTAATTATTTTTATTTTAAAATTTTTGCATTATTATTAGGTTTTTCATATTAAAATTGATGATAAGTTTACTGGTAATTTCAATAACAGATTAACCATTTCACTTAGATTGCTTATTAAATTCATTCAATTGTTGCCAATACTGCTAAACTGTTTAGTCTTTAACCCTGTAAAGTTAGTATTTGTCTTTGTTTTGTCTTTTGGTTGAAGTAATGCAATTCATTCAAGTTTCAATTTTAGACGATGACTATTTGAAACCGAGGATCGCAACGCGAAATGAAAATCGCAACGACAAAATCGCAGCGCGATTTTAGTTTCGCGTTGCGATTTTCTCGTTACGATAGTCATTTTCGTGTTGCGATTTTAAGTTTCAGAAACTACTCTTCTTCTGCAAATTGAAACGTGAATGAATTGCATTACTTCAACCAAAAAACAAAGACAAATACGAAATTCACAGTGTTACAAATTTAAGTTTGAAGAATAAACTACTACTACTCTTTATGTTTATTATTGTTTTTGGTATATCTTCACAGTGAAGTTTTTGGTATATCTAACTTGGTATGTTTATTGTTTTTGTAAAACTTTTTTCGGCTCAATTGACCTTAAGGAATAAAATAAGCCTAGTCACTACAATTGCGTCGAAGCTTTCACTTGTACAAAGAAAATTGTTTGAGGATACTTGCTTTGGGCCATGGCTGAAAGTACAACACCCGGGTGGAGATGCTATGTTGACCTATTTGTAACTTCAAACCATGACTAGTGATCTACCCGAGAGTATAAAACGTGGTAATGAAGAGATATGGTTTCATTTTTCACCGGCGTATACGTGTTTTGGGCGGGAGGAGTTTTGCTTAATCACTGGTCTACGCTTCGGACACGATGATGTAGGTCGATACACTAGTCATATTACCCGCCCATCATGGTTATCCCGGGTTTTTCCTGAGCTGTCAATGGAGAAGCCGAATTTACACGTCGATGTTGTCCGAGTATACCTTTTAGTACTTTTGCATGCCGGCTTTTTAGGCAGAGAGGCCAGACAACCTATTCCTAAGGACCTAATATTATTGGTAGATAACCTAAATGCATGAAACTTGTTTCCGTGGGGTTCGTATCTATGGAAAGCTACATGGAATAAGTTGTCGTCTGCCTTTGATGACCGCAAAAGTTTGTGTGGCGATGGTTCCAAATACACTTTGTCAGACTTTATTTGGGTCTTTAAGGTAAGAATTTCTATATAATGTTTCCAAAATTATAATTAATTATTTAACAATTACTAATGTTTGTGTATTATATTGTTTGTAGATTTGGATATTTGAGGTTTTTCCCGACATGCAGACATATACATTAAAAACTTCAAATGATATTCATAGAGTTATTTCTTAGAAGAGGAAACATCGGCTGTTGATTTGGGAAGAGTTATTACGGTATACGACAATAAATGATGTAAGTTAACACAAATACTACCATATATAAACAAGTTATTACTAGTACACGTTTAACTTTATTTGAGCTTTTATATTGTTAGGATGTCAACACTCCATTACAGAGGCTGACACCCACGGAGGTTGAGCTTGCCATTGATTGGTGGCAAGCTAGCAAGCATTTTTTTGATGGCACAGATGATTAGCAACCTCCACTTCGAGAGCCATCACCTCACCCAGAGCCATCACCTGATCGACCACACTATACACCTTTACAACGAGAGCCATCACATATTTCGTCACATCATCGAGCCTCTTCTCCACCATCACCTCATGATACGCGACCGGAAAAGATGTCACGACATTTATCTCCCTGTTCTCCACCTCCACGGGATGAGTTAGGGGAGTTACGTGATGAGGTCAATGTATTGCGTGAGGAGGTCGATACTTTACGTGATGACAATGGTGCATGGCGTGATGAGGTATCTACTTTACGTGGTGAGGTAGCGGCTCTACGTGAGATGATAGCATCGTTGCAGAATGAGGTCCATACTCTATGCAACGAGGTTAGTTTAAGATTTTTCATATTTAACTTTATTTACTCGTAATTTCACTTAGGTTAACCATTTCACTTAGATTGCTTAGTAAATTCATTCGGTTGCTGCCAATACTGCTAAACAGTTCTAAAATAACCCTGTGAAGTTAGTATTTGTCTTTGTTTTGTCTTTTGGTTGAAGTAATGCAATCCATTCAAGTTTTAATTTGCAGAAGAAGAATAGTCGCAACACGAAACTTAAAATCGCAACGCGAAAATGACTATCGCAACGCGGAAATGACTATCGCAACGCGAATTTGACTATCGCAATGCGAAATAAAAATCGCAACGTGAAAATCGCAATGCGAAAATGAAAATCGCAATGCGAAAATGAAAATCGCAACGCGAATTTAGTTTCGTGTTGCGATTTTTATTTCGCATTGCAATTATCTTGTTGCGATAGTCAAATTCGCGTTGCGATAGTCAAATTCGCGTTGCAATAGTCAAATTCGCGTTACGATTTTAAGTTTTGTGTTGCGATTTGAAGTTTCAGAAACTATTCTTTTTCTGCAAATTGAAACTTGAATGGATTGCATTAGTTCAACCAAAAGACAAAGACAAATATTAACTTCACAGTGTTGCAAATTTAAGTTTCAAGAATAAACTACTACTCTTTATATTGTCCTTGAACATGCACTAAACCTATATGTTGTCATTTTAAATGTTTATATAAGTGTTTACTTCTGGAATGTTATCTGATGCATTTTGTGAACTATGATAGAATAATGACTTGGGTGAATACCGTGAAAGTTTGAAACATATTTGTCTTTGTTTTTACTGTTTAATATCATGTATGTTTATTTACTGATTTATGTATTAATAAATTATTTTTAGCGGCCCGATAAGATGGATGCTTTACGTCAGATTTTTCTTGCACGTCGGGGTTCACGTATCAGACGGCGTGCACGTGCCGTTACGTCTCCGTTCACACCAATAGTGCGAAGACTCCGTAAGAAGAAGCCCGACTCACCTGTCATCGTTCAAGAGGCCTCTCCTATCGTTTAAGAGGCCCCTATCATCCCTCAAGAGTCCCCTCCCATCGTTGAAGAGACCCTTGTCATCGTTGAAGAGATCCATCCCATCGTTCAACATTCCGATTCACACGGAGTAATATGTTGAATTATTGAGAAACCCTCTTACGTGCCGGACATGATGGATGACTATTGGCTTTCGTATGAGTTACGAGCCAGTATCATTCCGACAGATGAAGTGGAGAGGAGAAAACTACCGGAAACAATTATGGATAATACCCTTTGGGCTAAGACCGCAATTGATTTTTATCTACATGAGCAGGGCCAGGGGTGTTACGCTGACATATACAAACTCAACGATGATATACATTTGTTGATTGATCGGTCTTGGTGGGGTGTGTTATTAGGGGTTGAAGACAAATGCTATTTCGATGGGGGGGTAAGTCTTATATTTTTATTATATTTCATTTTGATTTTTTTTTAAATTTATGTAATTCACTAATATATGTCTTTTTTTGTAAAACAACATATTGATGCATAGGTTTCACGACTTCTAATGATAAGGAAAATGAGGAAAAATAAAAAAAATACGCGATATACAATTATGCCGGCGTCTTTTCACATAGTTCACTTGAAGAATCAACGACATGAATCATATGTGTTAGCTAATGGACAAGTTAAACTTTATCCTGCATGGTAGAAGGTCGATAAGGTTAGTCTTTATTTTTTAAATATTTTAAAGGTGTTCATAAATAAGTGCGCAATTGAATTATTACTTATGATTGCAGGTGTTTATCCATGTTTTGGAACGTACTCATTGGCTTCTCGTCGAGCTTCAGCTCCCATCCCTGAAGACAATAGTATATGACAGCATGATAAATTATATATTATTGTCTGATTTGAGAGATATTATTAAGGGATGGAGCTCTCATTTGGCTAAATTCTTTGATGCGATTAATTATTGGACTTATTCTGGAAACAAGAAGCCAAAGAAGTTCAATGTTACAGTTATCAGAGAGGAGACCGCGCCACAACAAACGCAGGAAGCCAGAGGGGATTGTGGTCCTCTCGTATGCATGTGCTTGGAGCGTTTGACGACAGGAAATACACAGTTTCTACCTCCCACCGATAGAGATAGAGGCGCAGTAGACTTGTGGTTTCGGTATTTTATGGCTAGAGCGATATATGCGAGACGCTGCCTACCTGCATCTGCGTTATGAAAGTGTCCATAAACAATTTGTAAGTCAAATGCAAGTGTTGTTAAGTACCTAGAATTCAATAATAATTTGTTGTTTGTTGGTTTTAGATGTGTAGAAAGTGTTGTTTGAGCAAA